TTTATATTTTTGCTTCTGGGTTCTTCGAGACCCATGCATCCAGTGGCCTGATAGTCTCCCCTGGCGGTCTAATGGGCATCTCGTAGTTAACATGTCTAAGCTGAGTCCCCGATAGTCTCCCCTGGCGGTCTAATAGGCATCTCGTAGTTAACATGTCTAAGCTGAGTCCCCGATAATCTCCCCTGGCGGTCTAATAGGCATCTCATAGTTAACATGTCTAAGCTGAGTTCCCGATAGTCTCCCCTAGGCCCAGTCAAATTCTTTCTTCCAGTTGTTCAGCCAAAAACCTTGGTTGTTTCTTGATCCCTTTTCTTATTTCTCCTATAGAGGGCTTGTTAGTTATCTTTCTAACATCGTCTCCTCTTCCCTCATTCTTTGAATGATTAGCTCTTTGTATTTCATCAACTCTCCTGATGTCCCCCCCCACCCCACCCCCAATGCCTTTTCACTTGCAGTTCCATCAGCTCAGAAATGCTCTTCCTGTAGCTATCTTCACGGCCAGCTGCTCACTTCCTTTGAGCCTTTATTTATGTCCCTTTCCATGCAAATGTCAGCTGCTTCCAGCCCCCTGAAATGTGATTCCTTTTACCTGCTTTGATTTTCCTTTGCAAATTTCACTGCCTACTATAATTTATACCTCATTTAGTTTGCTCACTTATAGTCATCCTCATCGACTGGAACACTGCATATAATGTTTAATCTATATAATTCAGTTTTAATGTGATTGCTTATTTCTATGCTTAGCATAAGTGTTGAATGGATTTTTAAATAAACTTTTTATTCTACAAGAAATAGAAAACAAGAGAATGATAATATTTCCATATCAAGAAGGCTTAGAAGAAAAATGAAGCTTAAAAGACTATTTGATTATGTAATTCCTTATTTTATTTTTTTATTTATAGTTATAGATGGTCTTTTTTCAATAGGTCGACCACTTTGCTTAAATGAAAACACCTTGCTTAAAAGCTCAATGTTTCTCAAAAGAGAATTTAAAATAATATACTAAATTAAGCAGATTAAAAGCTTATATCGGTGTGTATGCCTGAAATACAAACACACACATAGACTTGTCATTTATTGTGTACTTACCATGGGTTGGGAGGAAAATGAGGTTTTGTACTCCTGCAAGCAGTTACAGTCTTGGAAATTCACAGGGACAGTTGCACCCTGTCCTATAGCATCGCTACGAGTCATCATTGAGTTCTTTGTTTTGGTACTATGGGTCAAGCATTATACTGACTGTTTAGATAATTACCTCATTTAATCTGATAGTCTTGTTAAGATAGGTATTATCCCCATTTGATATGTGACAAAGAGATCTAGTTACTTCTAGAGAGTTAGGGTTGGAGCCCTCTTAAATTATATTTGTGCTCTGAACTTTCAAATTATGGATATTATAGAGCAGTGTTATCTAGTAGAAATGTTTTATTAAGCACTTGAAATATGGCTAGTATGCACTGACAAAGTAAATTTATCATTGTATTCACCTTTAAATTTAAATAGCAACACTTAGCTATTAACCATGACCACATTGGACAAGGTAGTTATAGAAGTTTAAATTATAAAATTAAATGTATAACTTATGTAAACTTATTAAAATAATTTCATGGGACAGAAATGAGGTTTTATTGGAAATCTTTTATTTCTATTAGAAAAAATAATGCATGCACTTGATTTTATCGAAATGGTTCCAAAGAGATTACCATGAAAAATAAGCTTTCCTTTAATCATAGGCTCTCATTTCCTCTCCAAAGGCAATCATTGTTTCTATTTTTCAGTCCAGAAATGACTTATGGATTTACAAATATAAACAGTGTTTGAAACATTGCAAATAAAAATTTTACTTTTAAAATAAATTACACTCTAATTGCTTAAATGAAAACAAACTATTTTAAAATACTAGATTAATATGCTTTTACTATTAATCTGTTTTCTCCACTCATCCATCTGTTTGTTGTATTGTGGTGGCTGGTGTGTTTCTGTGAAGCTGGAAACTGCAATGATATTTCATATACCAGTAGGGTCACCCATGGTGAATAGGCTTCAACCAAGCTTACAGACTAGAAAGAAGGAAAAGCTAGTTCACTTCTGAAAAACTTGTCACTGACAATCTTATGCGTAGCAGCAGAACATTATCTAATATGGTGTTGGAATATGACTGAAAAAGGGCTGCCTCCTCAAAGAAGTGTGATTGAACAAAGTTTTGGGGAAATTTATTTACTGAGAAGAAATAGCTGCAAAGATCCACTTGTAATTAAAATATAGAATATACAGTAGCCCCATTAGAAGACAAGAAAAACCAAAGTGGATGTCAGAAGAGACTGAAATTTGCTCTTGAATGTAGAATAGCTCTTGAATGTAAAGTGCCTAAATGATAAAGTAAAAGAGTTGAACAGAAAATGTCAAATGGCAGTTTGATAAGACAGAGTAAAGTATTATAATAAAATGTGTAAAGATAGTAAACAAGCAGCCATCTAGCTCAGGAGCAACAAAGCCCACTATGGAAGAAGTACATCAGCCTGTGTGATCATGAGGTGTGGAAGGAATCAGGTATCAGGCATCAAAGAACAAAGAATCATATCATTGTGTGCCCACCTTCCTGATACAATCACTAAAGATAAATGGGTGCGTAACAAATGTGGTGGAGAAAGCTGATGGTGCCCAGCTATCAAAATGTAAAGTGTCTGGAGTCTGAAAGGCTTGAAGGTAAACAAGCAGCCATCGAGCACAGAAGCATCAAAGCCCACATAGAAGAAGCACACCAGCCTGTGTGATCACAAGGTGTCTAAGGGATCAGGTATCAAGCATCAAGGAACAAAAATCACATCATTGTGAATGAGGGGGAGTGCAGAGTAGGAACCTGAAGGCCATTTGTGGGCAACTGGACATCCACTTTCAGAAGGGTTGCAGGGAGGAGACAAGCAGATCAGGGTGCAATGTAGCAACAATGAAACACAACTTTCTTCTAGTTCTTAAATGCTTCCTCTCCCAAACTATCATGATCCCAATTCTACCAAACTATCATGCCCCCAATTCTACAAATCCGGCTGGACCGGAGGATGTACACTGGTACAGATGGGAACTGAAAACACAGGGAATCCAGGACAGATGAACCCCTCAGGACCAGTGATGAGAGTGGTGATATGAGGAGGGTGGAACAAAGGTGGGTATAAAGGGGGAATCAATTACAAGGATCTACATATAACCTCCTCTCTGGAGGATGGTCAACAGAAAAGTGGGTGAAGAGAGATGTCGGACAGTGTAAGATATGACAAAATAATAATGACTTGTAAATTTATCAAGGGTTCATGAGGGAGGGGGGAAATGAGGAACTGATGCCAAGGCTCAAGTAGAAAGAAAATGTTTTGAGAAAGATGATGGCAACAAATGTACAAATGTGCTTGACAACATGTATGTATGGATTGTGATAAGCATTGTACAAGCCCTCAATAAAATGATTTTTTTTAATGTGTAAAGACCTGGAATTAAGAAAATAAAACACTCAAGCTGAAAAAACTGAAGGAAAAATTCAAGCTTCCACTTGCAATATTGAAGAATTGTATAGGCAAAATTCTATGGGCAAACAAATATGTCTTAGAAAAGTGCAATCAGAATGCCCATAGAATAAGGTGACCAGATTTTAACATTGGTAAAGTGGGACAAAAGCGGAACACCATTGATAAAACTCATATCCTGGCGAAATAACCACATAGCAGCCGAAAACTGTATACCCTAGCTTGTCGTGCAGTCTTTCCAAAAATCAGGACCTTTTAAAAATGCCACGGGACGCTGGAAAAATTGTTAAAAATCGGGACTGTCCCGCCAAAAGCGGGACGTCTGGTCACCTTACCTTAGAAGTGAGGATGGATGGTAAGACCTCATCTCACATACTTTGAACATATTATCAAGAAAGACTCTGTGTTAGTCTGGGTTGAATAGAGAAGCAAATTCATTGATACTCGTATGTATAAGAAAGAGCTTATATCAAAGAGTAATTGTATATTAAGAAACCATCCTTTCCCAGTCCAGATCAAGTCCATAAATCTGATATTAACCCATAACTTCGATACTAGTCCATAAGTCCCTTTCCAGACTCAAACATAGCCACACGCAATGATGCAGACTGTAGGAAGATTATAGGCTAGTGGGTGCAAAATCTTGTGGATCCAATGGTGGTGGATCCATCTCCAGGGCTGTGGCTGCCATCAGTGTGGCTCCATGTGGCTTGTCAACAGGAAGATGAAACACGCACAGAGAGTGGCCTGCTTCTCAGTAGAAAAAGAAATTCCCAGACTCCTCATGGGAAGGCCACACCCATTAGGTAGCACCATCAGTCTGTGACCTGATTGACTGGCTGGACTCCACTCTGTTTATCAAGTTGACATGAAAGTATGTAACTACCACAGTCTGGCTCCTGGAGAAGAGCATCCCACTGGATGGAGTGTCAGAAAGAAGGAGGCAGACCCTCAGTGAAATGGTGGGCACTGGCTGCAGCAGTGAGTCCAACAACAATCGTGAGGGTGGTGCAGGCCTGGGCAGCGTTTTATTCTGTTATATATTGAGTTGCTATGAGTTACAGCTGACTCTACAGCACCGAACGATAGTTACTCATTTGTGGAATGAGATGGTATATGTAAATACATATTTCTATTTTTAGTGTGAATCTTAATACTGTACGGTGAAATAGATATATTTCCAAATTTAAATGAAATCTTTACTCTTATTTTGTTTGTGAATACTTTTACTAGCCAGCAGTTTAAGTCTTATCCATTCCAAATAGCTAACCATTTGTTTATTTAATATTGGCATGAAGTAAGATTACAGGGTTAACCTGAGATGATAGATAAATTTATTTCTTGATTACTAATTTTTATCAGCATAGCTTTTCTTACTTATTATATAAGGGCTTTATGTACGATTTATTACAACTTTATTATGGTATGCTAGATTTACTGCTAAATGGTTGTGATAAACAAATAATTACTTTCTCTCCACTACAGAAAACTTGAGGATATTGTCATTAGGAAGAAACAACATAAAGAACCTAAATGGACTGGTATGTTATTAATTATTACTTTAAACACATACACACATTTCCCCCTTAATATAAAAATAATACCTATTTTACAAAATAGAAATATTTTTTAAAATACTGACAATTTTAAATCATGATTTAAATCTTTCTTCACAGACTTATTATGGGAAAAGTTCTTAGAAAATTGAAAACTGTATTGGTTAGAAACAGGCAAGGAAAGTTGCATCAAGGAATTTTTTTCCCATCACAACAGTGCGTCTGCTTATTCTTCAAGGGTAACAAGACATCCTTTGAGAATTGAACGGGGAAACCTTACCCCATCCACCTTACAGCCCCAATCTTGCCCCCTTCAGACTTCTTTATAGAACTTGAACATTTAAGAGGATGACTTTACTTCCTTGAGGATGCAAAGCTACTGTTTGGACATGGTGTGTACAGAAGTGTACAGGATTATTCCAAGATGGCGTAGAGAGATGGAAACACCACTTTTCAGAAGTGTGTCTATATAGATGGAAGATTTATCAAGAAAATATAACTACATTTTTATATTTATGTTCAGTAAAAATTTCTTTTATTTTTGAAGTGATACTTTTTTACTTACCCTGATATATTTAGATAAATGTTATTTATATTTGTATTGATATTATAAAAGACATTTTTCTGGAATTTAACTTTTTAATTCAACAGTATCTCTGGGCAGTCTGCCAATATATCCTTTCAAGTCAATGCATGCTATAAATTTGATGTATTTTTTCTCATAAACATATATGTTACAAAACATTTTAACGTTTTTTTACATGTGCAGTTCAGTAACATTAATAACACTCATGATGTAGTTCTACCATCATGCATCTGAGCAAACGAGGCTTTCTTTTCTCCTCTGTCTCCTACTGTACCCTATTTGATTTCTTTTTCGTAGAATCTACCTCTTTAATTTCTCATTTTATTCATGAATTATGCCCCTGATTTCCTTTAACATGTTTTTATTATTTCTTTTAACATGTTTATTATTTGAGCTTTCATAAATATGATTTCTTTCCTTTTGACTTGTTCACACGAATAAAGCAAATTTCTTTTTGTGCCTTTGTGGTTTTTATGTTGAATCCAGGACACTTGAATTTTACACGATGTTGGCTTTCTCAGTTCTCCCAAATAATTAGTGTTTTTGACAGTGCTACTCTCTGCATGAAATGCTTAGATTAGCAAAGCCTTTAAACACTGCCTACTTCTCCCTTTCTCTTTCTCTGATAATTCTTTCAGTCCAGACCTCGCACTTCCCAAACAGAATAGAGAGCACACACTAATCACTGGACCTTCCAGGGACTGTAGTATGCAATCTTTGTTTATTGTTCCCTCCCGTGCTTCTTGAGGATCGAATTTCGGTCCTGTATCAGCTGATTGGCTGAACAGAAAGATGCCTTAACTACATTATGCCAATCTACTAACTAAAGGTTGGTGGTTGGAACGCACCCAGCAATACCCTAGAAAAAAATAGCTGATGATTTGTTTCTGTAAGGATTACAGCCCAGAAAACTTTGTACGAAGTCCTGCTCAGAATTGACCCCAGGGCAATGACTTGAGTTTTGTTTTGTTTTGAACTAGTTAGAAAGTCCATGCCGAATGTACTGTCTTCTTACATATCAAGTCCCCAGTCTTTGGTGGTCATTCTCTTCCCTGTTCTATGAGGACCATCTTGTAGCTGGAGCTGAGGGCCCTTCCCTGTGCTCAGATAAGCTATGGGTTGCCTAGGACTGAGCGGCAGCCATCTGTTCACTATGGGTGGGGAGGAGAGGAAAGGGTGGGCATACCACAGATGATCAGAGAGATATTTCCTATTTATTTCAGAGCTACCTCTTGGGACCCATTCCTGTTGCTAGGTGAACAGTGCCTTGGCTCGAGTGTATGCGGTGTATACAGAGTCAACCTTCTTGCTGACTGGGGAGGGAGAGACCAGAACAGGGGCAGACGCCCTTTTTCTACTTAATGAGATTCTTGGTTGACTTGGTTCTGTCTGCATTTCTTTGCTGCTCTTGCCTTTCCACAATTCAGCATCCCATAGGACTGTTCCTAGACTTCACATAGACACAGTTCCTGGCGTCTATCTGGGAAGATCAGAAATCTGTGCATACTGTTATCTTTCCAGAATTTGCATTCTTTTTAATTGCTGCATAGTTTTCCATGGTAGGTAGTATAAACCTACTGCCATCAAATCAACTGTGACTCAAAGTGACCCTCTATAGGTTTTCCAAGACTATAAATCTTTACAGGAGCAGTTTTATTTTTCTCCTGCAGAGGAGCTGGTGGATTGGAACCACCAGCCTGTGGCAAGCCACTCAATGCCTAACCAGTCTCATTATACAATAATATATTTTATTCTTATCCTATTGGACATTTGGATTATTTTCAGGATTTGTTTTTTTTGGGGGGAGGGGCTTTGTTACTGTTTTTCTAGTATAAATCATACTGTATGAATATCGTTCCACAGTTCTTTGAGGGCTTACATAAAATTCCTAAGAGGAGACAAGCTGAAGCTAAATGTGCATTTAACTTTTCTTTTTAAATCATTTTATTGGGGGCTCATACAACTCATCACAATCCATACATCCATCCATTGTGTCAAGCACATTTGTACATTTGTTATCATCATTCTCAAAACATTTGGTTTCTACTTGAGTCCTTGGTATCAGCTCCTCATTTTTTTTCCTGCCTCTCCACCCCCCTCCCATGAACCCTTCATCATTTATAAATTATTATTACTTTTCCATGTCTTGATGCTGTCTGACATCTCCCTTCACCCACTTTTCTCTTGTCCC